CGCTTCCTCCTCCTCCTCCTCCGCCGCCTCCTCCCTCCCCGTTGCTTCTTCCTCCGCCTCATCTTCCTCCTCCGCGTTCTCTGGTCCAGCTCCTCCTCCTCTTGCTCTTTCTTCCCCGCCCCCCTCACCTTCGCGCTGCCGGTTGGGCAGAGCGCCCGCCAGGGTGGCCACGGCGGCAGCGCCCTGAGCGCCGCGAGGAGCGGGGCGAGACGTGCCAGCACGGGTTGTTGAGAGCAGCGCGGCCCGATGATTCGATGATGGTGCCGACGTCGGCGTGCGGCGTCGATCGATCCAAAAGGCTTACGCCGTTTCGCCGACCCCTGGACGAAGTGAGGAGTCCATGGAAATTGCTGGGGCGAGTTGTGGTTTACGCTGCCGTGCACGACTGCGTGGACTGCAGCCATGTTGGGCGAACATGTGTTTTGGAGGGGGGCCGCCAACAGCGCAGCCGCCGCGCAGGGGGACGATCGCCAGGGTCACCAGGGCACGATTCGATCCTGAGTGTCGATGTCGGCGCGCGGCGTCGATCGATTCGACTGCGCGCCCCCGAGGGCGGCCTTCCTCTCCTCCACATACGTGACGCTAAGGAGAGGGCCTCGCCTTCGAGGGGTCAAAGGAGCTGGCGTCCTTTCTTCGGCGGCAGGCCGACGGAAGGCCGGCGGAATCAGGCGGAAGCACCACGGGGCGGGCTCCGTAGGCGGAATCCGCTGGCGCAAGCCAGCGGAAGCAACACATGCGTCGCAAGGGATGTATACATATATATCCGGGTGCTTGCTGCAAATCCCGCCACCGTGCCAGCCCAGCACTCTGGGTGGTGACTGTTCGAGGGGGCACGGGAGGCCGCCACGTGAAGCAGCTCGTGTCTCCAGGCTTGGGGTAGTCGTGATGGGGATGATGTAGATGATGATGGGGATGATGGGGATGATGGGGATGATGATGGGAAAGACGAATTTGATGATGATGCTGCTGATGATGATGCTGATGAGGATGATGATGCTGCTGATGATACTGATGATGATGATGATGCATCTGATGATGATGATGCTGATGATGATGATGATGATGCTGATTATTATTATCACCATGATGAGTATGATGATGATGCTAATGATGATGATGATTATGACGATTATGTTGATGACGCTGATGATGATGACAATGACGATGAAGATGAAGATGATGAAGATGATGAAGATGACGATGATGATGATGATGATGATGATGACGATGATGATGATGATGATGATGATGATGAAGGAAAATCAGCTCGTGTCTCCAGGCTTGGGGGAGTCGTGATGGGGTTGATGAGGATCATGAAGATTATGCAGGTGATGATGGGGATGAGGATGGAAGAGACGAATCTGATGATGCTGATGGTGATAATGACGGTGATGATGCTGCTGCAGATGATGATGATGATGATGATGATGATGATGATGATGATGATGATGATGATGATGATGATGATGATGATGGTGCTGATGCTTCTGATTATGCTAATGCTGATGATGATGATGATGGTGATGCTGCTGATCATGATGATACTGCTGCTGCTGATGATGAAGAGGATGCTGCTGCTGCTGTTGCTGAAAGTGATGATGGTGATGATGCTGATGATGCTGCTGATGATGATGATGATGATGATGATGACGCTGATGATGTTGAAGACGATCATGGTGTAATTATGATGGATGTGGTGGTGGTGGTGCTGGTGATGATGATGGTGATGATGCTGATGATGATGAGGAGGAGGATGGTAATGCAATGAAGCACTATGACGATGCTGATGATCATGGTGTTACTGATGATGATGATGCTGATGATCATGATGATGCTGCTGTTGCTGCTGATGATGATGATGATGACGATGCTGATGGTGATGTTGTTGTTGTTGTTGTTGTTGTTCTTGTTGTTATTATTGTTGCTGTTGTTGTTGTTGAGGGTGATTATTATGAGTATGATTATGGTGATGCTGATGCTGATGCTGATGCTGCTGATGATGATGATGCTGCTGCTGCTGCTGCTGATGATGATGATGATGATGATGATGATGATGGTGATGGTGGTGGTGGTGGTTTCGGTGGTGGTGATGATGATGAGGATGAGGAGGAGCAGGAGCAGGAGGTGGAAGGCCGCCGCTTGTCACATGTGACACCTTTCGTCTTTACTATTTGATGAGCTCTTGTGGAACTCGTGTCGGCCGTCTTGGGGCTGTCTTGGCCTCCTGTAAGGTAGTCTTGGGGGTCCCTTGGGGCCCTCTCGGACCGTCTTGAGGCCCTTGTAGGCCATCTTGGGGCTCTTTTTGGCCGTCTTAGTGTCCTCTTGGCCGTATAGTGGGTGTCTGGAGGCCGTCGTGGGGCCGTCGTGGCGCCGTCTTGGGCAGTCGAACGGCCTTTAAGGCCGTCTTGGGTCCCACGGGAGTCCCTCTTGAGCCATCGTGGGGCCGTCTCCGATGCGTCTTGAGCCCTCGTGGGGCCCTCTTGGGCCATCTCTGGACCCTCGTGGGAGCCTCTTGGGCCGCCTCGGGGCCATCGTGGAGGCTTCCTGGGCCGTCTTGAGCTGACGGATGCCCGACAAGGCGAGAATGCGAAAATCCTGCAAACATCCACGGCAAGGCAGTACTGTGGGCCTCTTCGGACCCTGCTGGAGATCCTTTTGGTGACAGGGCCTTGACAGTGGGTCGAAGAGTTAGGCACGGAGGCCGGGTAGCGAGCCCTGGTCGTGACTGCTCATGGGGTTCTGCAAGACTTCGGGCTGAGGGCGGAGGGAGGGGGGAGGAGGGAGGGAGGACGAGGAGGGGAAAGACGAGTCTGTGCGGTTTGTATGGGGTCTAGGTCGTCGAGTTCTTGGATGTTCCAGGGGCTCTCCAAGGGAGTCGAAGAGGAGGAGAAGGCGGAGGAGGAGGAGGAGGAGGAGGAGGAGGAGGAGGAGGAGGAGGAGGAGGAGGAGGAGGGGGCGGCAGAGGAGGAGGAGGCGGAGGGGCAGGGTAAGGTTGAGGAGCGGAAGCAGTAGGGTCTGGGAGAGGGAGTGGGGGAGAGGAGTGGGGAGGACAAAGGGACCAGCTCCCTCCCCCCCCCTTCATTGCTGCTTGCGCTCCTCCTCTCTCCCGCTCTCTCGTCCTCTAGTTTCGTCCTCTCTCCTCCTGTCTCCTCCCGTCTCCTCATCCTTTCTCCACCCCTGCTTGTCGATCTTCTGGGTGGAGGGAGTACGGGATAAGGAGGGTGAGAGAGAGACCCCTCCTTCCTTCTCCCCCGCGCCCTATACCCGCCTTCTTCGTGCACCCGCTTTATCGTGCTTCCTTTGGCATCCGGGATCCTGCAGATGCCGATCGGGATTGTTTGTGCCCAGGGGGTCTGAGGATCGCTTTCGAGCGGGCTCTGACCCTGAGGGGTACGAGTGCCTTTCAGTTTTTTGTTTTGCAATGGCGTTACTCTTCGTTGAAGTGTTGACCCCCTGTGCCAAGCCCATCTGCGCCAGAAGGCTGAACGCAACCAGCTTCGGCACGACGCCCGAACTTTCATGACTGGTGTTTCACACGAGTTATCGACACGTTCGAAGCGGTTCGCTCCCATGGTATCATGATAGTCCGCAAGCGGCACGCGCTTGTGTAAACCTCGTGCACCAGTCGATCGAGTAGCGATAAAATAGTCCACGACTGCGAGCTCAGCACTATCCTGGCGGCCATTGCGACTTTACAGCCCACGGATGGATTCCGCCGGTGGAGATCGCACTCTTTCGTGTCGTCCGTAGATCGGGTCCACCTCCAGCGTCCCCAAACTTTTTGATAACAAGAAGCATGAACGCCTCCTTTCAGTACGGCCCTCCCAGTCTCGGACAGCCTGTGGCGTTTCAAGCGGTGCTCATTCTGGGATGCTTCTCACCTGACCACGCTGAACTACCTCTGCCTCCGGGAGGCCTCTTGGGGCCATTATGGGCCATGCCGGTTGTCTCTTTGGCCAACCCGTGGCCCTCTTGGGGCCGTCTTGGGGCGTCTTGGGGCCGTCTTTGGCTCGTGTTGGAGCCCTCCGCGGTCCTCTTGACGCTTCCTGGGACCCTCTTGGGCCGAAGAGCTCGGAAGGCAGAACTTTGCGACAGCTATATCATGTGGTTACACCTGTTGTTGAGTTGTTTCAGCAGTTTGAGAGGCCTCTTGGAGCCTCTCTCGAGGTTCATGTCTTGTCTCAAAGAGGCCATTTAGCTATAATGGCGCCTCTTTGGGCCCTCTGGGGCCCTGCTTCTTGGAGATTGGGCGGGAGTTGGGGCCATGTTGGCATTCTTGGCCTTTGGCGACCCCTTGGGGCCAACCTGGGCCGTCTTTGAAGCAACCTACCCAGGACGATCGGGAGCATGCAATGCAACAGTGCGAACATCATGTAACCAATATTACGTGTTACGTGTTTTATGTTAGCCCGAACTCTTTGAGGGCACTCTCAAGCCAGGGGATCTGCTGGAAACGGGTATGGCCCGAAGCGAACGCGCCCAGAAACATGTAGCATGCAGTGGGCTCGGCACGACGTTCGAGCCTCCCGAGCCCCGCCGCAGCCCCAGGAATCATCAGCAGGATTTGGAGCATGGACGAGACAGAGAAACAAGACCACGAGCGGGAGGAAGTGGGATTCGGAGGAGTGCCAACAATGCCACCACCAACCCTGGCCAGGCCCATCCTGGGCCTTGGACTGGAGTATAGACCTCCAGGCCTAGGCCAGGAGGGCTTGTACACCAGTCCGGCTCCCAGGATGGGACTGGCCAGGGCTGGCGGTGGTGTACTGCTTGGAGCTCTCCTAGGGATCCAGGGCCAGGAGGGGTCCCGGGCCAGGAAGAATCGGTGAGGACTGGGCTCGGTCACAGCCGAGCGTATGCTTCCACGAGCAGAGCGTATAGCCGTCTCGGCCGGAGAGCTGCGCCCTCCGAGCCGCGTCCGGCGGCAGGCGTTCGGCGCGATGCCCGCCGCCGTGCCGCCGGCAGGCCACCGAGCCCCACGGTAGCCAGGCGAGGCCACGATGCGGGCGGAGGGCGTGGCGAGCAGCGCGCCGAGGACTCAGCAGACTCACCTCGACCCCCCCAGTCAGACCCTCGCCTCCGGGCGCCGTGCACCGATGCCGGCGCGCGGACTCTCCGCACGGCTGGAGGTGGCACACTGGGCCGCTGAGGCCAGAAGCCGTATGGGTGGGGACGCATGGGCAGGACTTTTCGGGCGAGCCTGCATGGGCTGAGTCCGATGGGCTCGACCCTATCAGCGGGATCCTATCGGCGACGCCCCCCCATGCCACGGGACCCTGTGTTTGGGATGCTGCGGGCGGGACTCTTTCGGTGGGACTCTGCGGGCGAGACCCCATCGGCGACGACGGCCGCAGCGCGGCTCTCATGTCACGGGACCCTCTGGGTGGGACCACACGGGTAGAACCCGATTGGCAAGCCCTACGGTTGTGGAAGTCCATTCAGGGAGAGGAAGCATGCCGCCAAATATTTTCCTCCAGATGCCTACAACATGTTTCAAACATGTCTTAAATCTGTAAAAACATGTTTGAAACATTTTTAGAACAATGCTTTCACAGTTGAAACACATTTTCAATTCGATGATGGGATTGTCAGAGTTTCAATTGTCATGGCATCTACAACCCTGCGGGCGGGAGCCCATCGGTAACGACAGCCGAACCCCGGCGCCCGTAATCACGGGACTTTTTCGGGCGGGACACTTTGGACGGGATTCTGTCGGCGTCGGCCGCCGGACCACTGCGCCGACGTCAAGGGACCCTGTGGGTTGGACGCTACGAGCGGGCCTTGTTGGGTGGGACCCTATGAGCGGGGCCCATCGCGACGACGGCAGCTCCCAAGCGTCTCAACTCAATACTTTACGATGTCGGTGCGAACACCTCGGGTGCAAGAATTGATGGGCAAACAGCCGCACTTGTATTTTGCTCCGTTTCGGGCGGAGGAGCTGGCTCGAGTGTCATATTCAAAGATGTGGTCGAAAGGCCTGGTCGTCATTTGCTCACGACGTCGTACTCTTACCACTTCCTCGAATGTCAGGGGGCACGCGAGTCCTTGTCTCTCGACCAGAAATCGTCCGCGATGCCGATGAGGTATGCACTTCTCTCGAGACGAACCGATGACTGGGCTCAGGCCACCGTTCACGGGGTCAAGGTGAGTCTGGCAAAGGAGGTTCGGGCCTTCCCCGGCTAGCGTGGGCGGCGAATTGGGCCAGGAGTTCGACCACGGGCTCCCGGTGCGAAGCAGCCCAACCCTCAAGGCGACGCTTGAAGTGCTGGTGGCGACCTCGGTGATCGTGTGCTTCTACACTCTGTGGTTCGTCGCCGAGCTGCTGTTTTCCACGAAGTGGAGGACTCCTGGGTCCGAGTACAGGGTGCTGTGGAGGGGTACCACCGCTCTCGTGGTCGACATTACACTGCCGGCCTGCGGCTACTTTGGCGCCATGTACAGCAACCGTCACCTCACCTGCTGTTTCTGCGGCTGCAGTTTCCTGGTCTCGTCCATAGCGGTCATCTCCATTTGCATCAGTTTGTTCAGCTCGTTGAGCAGCGTCGACTGGAGTGATCGTGCTGAACAGAATAAGCGGGCAGTGCCCGCGATGATCCTGGACATGGTTGCTTTCTGGTTCGGAAGAAATCTCTACTGCCGGATGTCCTCTGAGCGAATTGTGGCCGCCTCCCCTGGTCCACTAGTGGGCCAGGTATTCCAATCTCAGGGGAGAACCCAGCCGGTGGCCACTGCCCACGGTACTGTCACCACTTCGAACTGAGCGCATGCAAAGAAATCGTGCTGTTGTTTTGTCGATGCGATCGTATGTCGTGAAGTTCTGGTTTAACTACAGTTCACCTTATATACAGCGCCCTCTGCCGCCAGCCCCGAGGCTGATCCATCTTGTGACTTAGGATAGTTTTTTACCTTCTTGGACAATCTTAAACATCTTTGGGCGGCATATTGGACAATGTTGGAGCTATCTTAAAGCCTCCGGAGGCTATTTTGGAGGCTTCCTGGGGGCATCTTGGGGCCATCTTAATCAGGATTGTGCGATCCTGGCCGATCTTGCCGGCATCTTGCGGCCTTATGGGGTCACTCTGGGACAGTCCTGGGTAATCTTCTTGTATCTGGGGGCCGTCTTGAAGCAACTCCAGGACATCCCAGGCGCAGAGCATGCGACAGTCAAACAGCAGCGAAACGAGAGCACGAAGGCTCTCACTTTGTTCCCCACATGTTTCGTGGGGTTCTGGTTTTCTTCCCTGCCGCGCCGCGCCCGCGTCTCACCTCACCTCACACCTCCCCTCCTCTCTCTTTCTTCCTCCCCTCACACACACACACTTCACTCTTCCCCTCCTCGTCACAGCACTGCTCAGCTCAACTCAGCTCAGCACAGCACAGCACAGCTCAGCTCAGCTCAGCACAGCACAGACCGGCTCAGCTCAGCACAGCTCAGCACAGCCCAGCACGGCTCAGCTCAGCACAGCACACGACAGCTCGTGGCACTTTCTCGACACCAAAGGGGGTGGGCAGGGGGTGGTCTCTCAGCTCGGCCGCTATCCACGACACTGGCGCAAAGCCTAGCAGGCGTGGCACTTTCTCGACACCACAGGGGGTGCGCAGGGGGTGGTCTCTCAGCTCGGCCGCTATCCACGACACTGGCGCAAAGGCTAGCAGGCGTGGCACTTTCTCGACACCACAGGGGGTGCGCAGGGGGTGGTCTCTCAGCTCGGCCGCTATCCACGACACTGGCGCAAAGCCTAGCAGGCGTGGCACTTTCTCGACACCACAGGGGGTGCGCAGGGGGTGGTCTCTCAGCTCGGCCGCTATCCACGACACTGGCGCAAAGGCTAGCAGGCGTGGCACTTTCTCGACACCACAGGGGGTGCGCAGGGGGTGGTCTCTCAGCTCGGCCGCTATCCACGACACTGGCGCAAAGCCTAGCAGGCGTGGCACTTTCTCGACACCACAGGGGGTGCGCAGGGGGTGGTCTCTCAGCTCGGCCGCTATCCACGACACTGGCGCAAAGCTAGGCGTGGCACTTTCTCGACACCACACACTGGCCGCGACAGCCTAGCAGGCGTGGCACTTTCTCGACACCACAGGGGGTGCAGGGGGTGGTCTCTCAGCTCGGCCGCTATCCACGACACTGGCGCAAAGCCTAGCAGGCGTGGCACTTTCTCGACACCACAGGGGGTGGGCAGGGGGTGGTCTCTCAGCTCGGCCGCTATCCACGACACTGGCGCAAAGCCTAGCAGGCGTGGCACTTTCTCGACACCACAGGGGGTGCGCAGGGGGTGGTCTCTCAGCTCGGCCGCTATCCACGACACTGGCGCAAAGGCTAGCAGGCGTGGTGGACACTTTCTCGACACCACAGGGGGTGCGCAGGGGGTGGTCTCTCAGCTCGGCCGCTATCCACGACACTGGCGCAAAGCCTAGCAAGCGTGGCACTTTCTCGACACCACAGGGGGTGCGCAGGGGGTGGTCTCTCAGCTCGGCCGCTATCCACGACACTGCGCAAAGCCTAGCAGGCGTGGCACTTTCTCGACACCACAGGGGGTGCGCAGGGGGTGGTCTCTCAGCTCGGCCGCTATCCACGACACTGGCGCAAAGCCTAGCAGGCGTGGCACTTCTCGACACCAAAGGGGGTGCGGAGGGGGTGGTCTCTCAGCTCGGCCGCTATCCACGACACTGGCGCAAAGCCTAGCAGGCGTGGCACTTTCTCGACACCACAGGGGGTGCGCAGGGGGTGGTCTCTCAGCTCGGCCGCTATCCACGACACTGGCGCAAAGCCTAGCAGGCGTGGCACTTTCTCGACACCGCAGGGGGTGCGCAGGGGGTGGTCTCTCAGCTCGGCCGCTATCCACGACACTGGCGCAAAGCCTAGCAGGCGTGGCACTTTCTCGACACCACAGGGGGTGCGCAGGGGGTGGTCTCTCAGCTCGGCCGCTATCCACGACACTGGCGCAAAGCCTAGCAGGCGTGGCACTTTCTCGACACCACTCTCAGCTCTATCCACGACACGCACAGGCGTGGCACTTTCTCGGGGTGCAGGGGGTGGTCTCTCAGCTCGGCCGCTATCGCAAAGCTTGGCACTTTCTGTGGCAGGGGGTGGTCTCTCAACGGACGCAAAGCAGGCGTGGCACTTTCTCGACACCACAGGGGGTGCGCAGGGGTGGTCTCTCAGCTCGGCCGCTATCCACGACACTGGCGCAAAGCCTAGCAGGCGTGGCACTTTCTCGACACCACAGGGGGTGCGCAGGGGGTGGTCTCTCAGCTCGGCCGCTATCCACGACACTGGCGCAAAGCCTAGCAGGCGTGGCACTTTCTCGACACCACAGGGGGTGCGCAGGGGGTGGTCTCTCAGCTCGGCCGCTATCCACGACACTGGCGCAAAGCCTAGCAGGCGTGGCACTTTCTCGACACCACAGGGGGTGCGCAGGGGGTGGTCTCTCAGCTCGGCCGCTATCCACGACACTGGCGCAAAGCCTAGCAGGCGTGGCACTTTCTCGACACCACAGGGGGTGCGCAGGGGGTGGTCTCTCAGCTCGGCCGCTATCCACGACACTGGCGCAAAGCCTAGCAGGCGTGGCACTTTCTCGACACCACAGGGGGTGCGCAGGGGGTGGTCTCTCAGCTCGGCCGCTATCCACGACACTGGCGCAAAGCCTAGCAGGCGTGGCACTTTCTCGACACCACAGGGGGTGCGCAGGGGGTGGTCTCTCAGCTCGGCCGCTATCCACGACACTGGCGCAAAGCCTAGCAGGCGTGGCACTTTCTCGACACCACAGGGGGTGCGCAGGGGGTGGTCTCTCAGCTCGGCCGCTATCCACGACACTGGCGCAAAGCCTAGCAGGCGTGGCACTTTCTCGACACCACAGGGGGTGCGCAGGGGGTGGTCTCTCAGCTCGGCCGCTATCCACGACACTGGCGCAAAGCCTAGCAGGCGTGGCACTTTCTCGACACCACAGGGGGTGCGCAGGGGGTGGTCTCTCAGCTCGGCCGCTATCCACGACACTGGCGCAAAGCCTAGCAGGCGTGGCACTTTCTCGACACCACAGGGGGTGGCAGGGGGTGGTCTCTCAGCTCGGCCGCTATCCACGACACTGGCGCAAAGCCTAGCAGGCGTGGCACTTTCTCGACACCACAGGGGGTGCGCAGGGGGTGGTCTCTCAGCTCGGCCGCTATCCACGACAGGCGCAAAGCCTAGCAAGCGTGGCACTTTCTCGACACCACAGGGGGTGCGCAGGGGGTGGTCTCTCAGCTCGGTCGCTATCCACGACACTGTCGCAAAGCCTAGCAGGCGTGGCACTTTCTCGACACCACAGGGGGTGCGCAGGGGGTGGTCTTTCGGCTCGGCAGCTATCCACGACAATGGCGCAAAGCCTAGCAGGCGTGGCACTCTCTCGACACCAAAGGGGGTGGGCAGGGGGTGGTCTCTCAGCGAAGGCTCAGAACGCAGGATTGCGCATATATATATATATATATATATATGTATACATAAGCAAACACATAATATTTCAATTAAGTATGCGGGGTTCCTCGGTAGCGTAATTTTGTTTCTCGGGGGCGCTTTGAGGTCCTTTTGGTACCTCCTACCCCGACCCTCTAGCCTTGGCCTCCCTCGCTTCCCCTCCCTCCGCCTTCCGAACCGTGCTTGTATAGTGCGTGGCGCGGGCGTGAAGTCCGAGACGGCTGCCGTTCTGGTGTGCAGCAGCCCGTGGTTGCGCAGTGCTGGTGGGTGGCGGCGTGTATAATGCCGCGGTGTCGCCGCGGCGTGGTCGGGATGGCGCAGGGTCGTTGTGTCGTTGTGTTGTGGCGTGGCGGCGTGTGAATGTCACGGTGTCGGGGTGGCGCCGTGAGGATGCAGTGGCCGCGTTGCCATGACGTACATGCAACAGCTTGCGAACCAGGCTCATGTGTGCCACATGGGTGTGAATCAGAATCGTGAATCCGGGGCAGGCGTGAGACCGATGAGGGTCACAATGAGCCACTAGCAGGACGGTGGGGCATCAAGCAAGTGTATACAGCAACTCTCAGACACATCTGAAGATAAGATAGTTCTGGTCATACACAGATGTACCATCTAGGTGTCCTTTTCGTGTCATTGTGATGCGTGTGGTGGTGTGCTGCGCGTGGTGGTGGCGGTGGTGCCACGGTGTCGTTGTGTCATCGCTTGGCAGTATGCGTCGTGGTAGGATCGTGTTGGTTGATTCGCCATGAATTGGAGCACGATTGCAACTGTGTTGCACATCAGGCATGTGCGCATGTCGTGTGACACAACCAAACGCGTTCATGTGTACCAAGCGCGATCCGCACGCGAGACGCGAGCAATATATTTGCAGTGAATGTGCAACACATTCTAGACAAGCGTGAAACGGACACGATGCACAGGTACATCATTGCAAAAGAGAGGATATCAGAAATATGCAATTCTAGACGCTTCGCGTATCCCCACCAGCTCCGTAGCCATTTTGGCTCAAGCCATCGATCGGGCGACCCCCCGGGCGCGCGCGCGCTCGCGCCGGCATGCCTCCCGCGGCCTCGGCGGCCATGCGCGCGCCAGGCGTCCTGCCTCTGCCCACCTCGTCCGACCGCGGCGCGGGCGTCGCGGGCATGCCGCGCCAGGCGCGCTCGGTGAGCCCAGGGCGGCTGCTGCAGGCGCCCTCGCCGGAGCGGGCGGCGGGGCTGCCGTGGACCTGGGGGGGCCCGCCGCGGGCCGAGCGCGCGGGGTCGCCGCCGGCGGAGTCTCCGCTGCGGCCGCGCGACCTGTCGCGGGAGGTGGCGCACCCGCGGCAGGCTGCAGGGCTCGGGCCGGCGATGGACGTGGAAAGGCTGCTGCGCGAGATGGAGGACATGCGGCAGCAGATCGGCGGGGTGCGCAGCAGCTCGCTGGTGGCGGAGCAGCAGGTGCGCGTGCTGCGCAGCCGCCTCGACAGCCTGAGCATCAGCTTGCACACGGAGGTGGCGGACAGCCTGCAGGGGCGACTGGAGCACCTGGAATGCAGGGTGGACTCTGGCGACCGGTGGCTGTCGCAGCTGGAGGCCAACTGCCAGCGGCAGGCCAGAGGCCACGGCGAGATGATCGAGGGCCTCGCCAAGCGCGTCGAGCAGCTCTCCGCGCGCGCTCCCGGCGCGCCGCCGCCCTCCGTGCTGGCCAGCGGGCTCGAGAGCCTCGCCGCGGAGCTGCGGCAGGAGAAGGAGCAACTGCGGGGCCTCGCGCGCGCGCTGGAGGACGAGCGCCGCCAGCGCGAGGAGCTCGGCAAGACGCTGGGCGACGTCAGGGCTGGCATGGCGGCGGGGCGCGCGGAACGCGCGGCGCTCGGCGGCGAGCTCGAGGCGCTGGGGGAGGCAGTGCGGGAGTCCGCGCAGCTGGGCCTGCGCGAGGCCGGCGCGGCCATGGAAACGCTGGAAAGTCGGGTACGGGAGCAGCTGGAGGCCATCCGGGCCCTCGCCGAGGAGAGGCCCGAGGGCGGCGACCGGGACCAGACCGAGGCGAACGTCTGGGAACTCGTGGACACAAAGGTCGAGGCTGCCGTCGGCGCCACGCGGGCCGCGCTGCAGCACGAGCTGGACGGGTTCAGCGCGCGGCTGCTGGGGCAGCGCGACGCGCTGCACGACGCGCTCGGGGATGCCCTGCGGCGCGAGGGCGCGGCGCGCGAGGAGGCGGTGAGCGCCCTGCGCGAGTCCCTGGACTCCCAAGCCCGCGGCGAGAAGGCCGGCTGCGCCCAACAGCTGGAGGGCTTCTCGCTGCGGCTGGACCAGATGCAGGACGGCCTCGAGGAGCGCCTGGCGACGCTGGAGGGCTTCCTCGACGCCCTGAGGGACAGCGTCCGCCCCAGGAACCGCTTCTCCGAGCCCCTCGCGCCCCACTGAGCGCGAGCCCTGCGGGGGCCACCGACGGTGCGGGCGAGGCCCGGCCGCCGCCGCGCGGCCAGGGCCCGCCGCGCTCGTGCGAGCGCTCGCGCGCGACGGGGCTGTGACGGCGCAGGGTCGTGAGCGGGGGACAACAAAAAATCCGTCACACGGTTCACTCGGGCTCTTCTCTGGCATGGGCCCGAGGTGCCCGCCGCGCACCCACCTGGGACGGCTGGGGCTGCAGGACAAAGGCACCCCCCTCTCTCGCTCCATTACCAGCGCTTCTGTCAGCATCGACCTGGTGACGTTCCCTCAATGTCAGGCTCCATCCTGGCCACCTTCCGACCACGCTGCGTGCGTCCATGGCTGATGCTGGGCGGTGGGCCCTCGGCGGATCCCACATATTCACCTGACCTGCGGCTATCGGCTGCGCCCCCCCTTCTTCTCACCGACATCCACAGCTGGGCGCCCTTCATGGTTGTTTCGCCTCAGTGACATGTCGTGGCACTCCCTACATTCCTCCCCTGGATGTGGGACGCCAGCAGGACCATGTTGCGACTTGCTTTCCACGGTACATCGTGGCTTAGCCCGTGTGACGCCGGCTGAAATAATCCACGCTCACGGTGTGACTTGGCCTAGCTCTCGCGAACACGGGCCCGCCTCGCCCGCCCGGGCATTTGAGCGGCTGGGCTCGTCGGCTTAAGGCCCGCCCCCTCGCTCCACAACCACAACAGGGCGTTCGTCGTGGTTGTTTCAGCTCAGCGACAGGTCGTGGCTCCCCCTGCATTTCCCCCCTGGATGTGGGGCACCCGATGGCATGGTTGCGGCTTGTCTTCCACGGCGCACCGTGACTTAGCCCGTGTGGCGTCGGGTGAAATAATCCACGCACGCGGTGGGATTTGGCCTGGTTCTCGAGCATGGGCCCGCCTCGCCCGCCCGGGCGTTCGAGCGCACGGGTACGCCGGCCTAAGGCCCGCCCCATCGTTCCACCTCTCCGTCCTTTCACGTCTCTGATGTGGCACCCCCCCATTGGCAGACGCTTACTTCGGCTTCATCGCGGGCATCGTTTTCGGACACGGTCTTCGCCCGCCTGGGCTCACCTCTACGTGGTGCTGTTGGCGGGAAGGTCCATGTGCCTCAATTGCTCCGTGAGTGAGGGTTCCTGGTTCTCGCATGTTCATCCGGCGTTGGCTTTTGGCCCGCTGGTAATTATCTCGCTTCACACTTGCATCCCAGCGTTGGCTCTTGGTCCGCTGGTAATTATCTCGCTGGGCCCCCCAGCTCGCTACGCCTCACGCTTGCTTCCCAGCGTTGGCTCTTGGTCCGCTGGTAATCATCTCGCTTGGCCCCCCTAGCTCGCTTCGCCTCTTCGCTTTTCCCCTCGCCTGTGCATCCGGCGGTGGCTTTTGGCCCGCTGATAATTATCTCGCTTCGCACTTGCATCCCAGCGTTGGCTTTTGGCCCGCTGGTAATTGTCTCGCTTGGCCCCCCAAGCTTGCTACGCCTTCGACCCGCTCTCTGGAATCGTCCTTGGAGCCGCAAATCAAAAAAAGTATCCCCGCCAGCCCTGTTTTGGACTTCGCTGCGGGCGCGGCACGCCCTAGCACGCTCGGCGTTCGACTCGTTTCGCGCGTCCGCGAACCAAAAAGCATCCCCACCTGCCCATCCAGAAACGACGTCCAGGCGAGTTGAGGTGAGCAGGGAAGTGCGGGAGCAAAGGGTTGGACGGCCGAACCGCGCAAAGGAGGGAGGAGGAGAAGGAGGAGGCTGGATGGATAGATGAGTAAGTGGGGAGCAGACGATGGAAATGATGATGCTGATGATGATTATGCTGATGGTGATGATGATGAGGAGGAGGAGGAAGAGGAGGAAGAGAAGGAGTATGAGGAGGAAGGAGGAGCAGGAGGAGGAGGAGGAGGGCAAACAAAAGGGTCAGACATCTCTTGGATGCCTCTCGGAGCCTCTTGGGATATCTCTTAGGCGCTTCTTGGAGGCCTCTTGGGACGTCTTGGGGGTCTTTTGGTGGTCCTGGGGAGGTCTTGGGCGTCTTGGGTGCCTCGGGGGGGCCTCTTGGGGCCGCTTGGGGTCCTCTTGGGGGCCTCCGGGGTGCATCTTGGGGCCATCTTGGAGCCAGCTTGGGGCCATCTTGGGGCCTCTTGGGGCCTCCTGGGCGTCTCCTGGGGCCATCTTGGAGGAAATCGATCAAAGAGGGGGTGGGGTGGTGGTGGTAATTAGCCTTTCTCCACCGGGGCCAAAATGGAGCAAAACCTTAGTGAAACCAATGGTTTTTTGGCTTCCTCGCCGAGGCCGTTTTGGGCGCTCTAACTACCCCCGACCGGCCCCGTCCAGGTCCAGGGCAGGGGGTAGGGGCCAGGGCCCCCTCCCCGAATGGGAAGAGGGAGAGTGGAAGAGCAAACGCCCTAAACCACCTACGCCCAGAGGGTTGGTGGGATTTGGGTGTCTCAGGCCAGCACCACCCCAAAGCAAGCCCACCCGTGGGCCCTAAATGCGTCGGGCCTCCTAATGAACGGGGCTTGTGTTGTCTACAGCTTAGTGTATATCCTCCTGGACTTTTGGTGCCAATCTCTCGCTAGCTCTCAGTCACCCCGCGCTTTACATCTATTGACCAGTCCCTTGCAGTCGATCTTCGCGATATCCTTTCCATCCTTGTTGGTCCCCTTGACATGCCCTCCCTCTCCAGGAGAAAGTTGGGCACGTCCACAGAGCCACTGCCAGTGAGGAAGCTGTCTAAGGCAGGTTTGTCTTGAGTTGCTCTGTTAGTGTGATTAGCACTGCGGACCTTCGCCGCTGTCCCTTCTCCTCCCGCCTCTACCTCTTCACCGAGCTTCTGCATCGTGATGGCAGGAAGGGGGGAAGGCATCACCTCCGCAACCGTGACACATCCTGCCACCGCTGGTTCCAATCTTTCTCGAACGGAGCTTGCACTTTTGGGGTTCTTGCTTCGGACTGCTCAGGGGACTGGACGGGCCAGCTGAGGTTTCCCCTTGTGCTCGGTTTGTGATCCTTCGCCGGAGTGACCTTTGGTGCGGGCCCGCTGGGGCCCCCGATCGCCGAACGCGAGGCGGCAGTGGCGTCTTGCGCGCTTGTGTTTGCCCCCCCCGGGCCCGCCCAAAAGGCCGCGCACCAGAGGTCACTCTGGCCCAGGGCCACTCTCACGCGTAGCCGAGGCTGGTCGTGGGCGCCTCGTGGGCGCCCCGTGCGCTGGGCGGGTCGAAGGGGTTTCGCCAGGTGCCCGCTCGCGGCCGCCAGCCGCGGGCGCCCCGTGGGTGCCCTCGTGCGACCAGGCCTCGTCGGGTGCCCTGCCGTGGCCGCCCCCCCAGGGGCGCCTCGTGGGCGCCTGGTGGGCAGCCGCACGGCTTGCACCGCACAACTTGCACCGCGTGGCTCGCCATGGATGGCACCACACAGTTTGCGCCCCAGAGCTTCACCGCACAGCTGTCGCCACATGCCCAAGTCCACGCAGCGTGTGTCACGTGCTGAACTGGCGCAACGAAAGCTTACATGCTCCAGGTGCTCCGAGACCTGTGTCGTTTTGTTCAGCATCCCGTGCATAGGTTTTTTTTGTCGAAAGACCCAACCACACGTAGCTGCGAGTGCCGCAAGTAAGGTGGACACACTTGGACGTGACCAGCAAAAAGTCGAAAGCCAGCGTGGGAAGGGCGGATCGACGTTGCTGATCGGGTCGCGGAGATCGGCCGTAACGGGTTACATCTGGATGTAACCCGTTACGGCAGATTTGCGCGTCTGTCGGAGCGCGTTTGTTCACTAGGCCTTTCGGTGGAGCTCCCTATGTGGCCACGAAGCGCTGGAGGGTGTGCCGGAATAGGGGTGGAGCCGCACGCGAACCCTGTCACTAGGGCTTTGGTGAAGCTCCCTGTGGGGCCACGAAACATGTTCGGAGTGTGCCGAAATCGGGGTGGAACCGCATGCGAACTTTCACTGGGGACTTCGGTGAAGCTTCCAATGGGGCCACGGCACGTGCGAGGGTTGTGCCGAAGTGGAGGCGGAACCGCGTGCGAACCCTGCCACCGGGGCCTTTGGTGGAGCTCCCTGTAGGGTCACGGAACGTGTAAGAGGTGTACCGAAATTGGGGTGGATCCGGATGTGGACACTCCCGCTGAGGCTTTCGGTGGAGCTTCCTATGGGGCCACGAAGCGTGCTTCGCGTGTCGGGTTGGTTCTTATCGGGGTGGATTTTCTGTCCTCCTAATGATGATGCTGATGATGATGACGATGGCGATGATGATGATGATGATGATGATGATGATGATGATGATGATGATGATGATGATGATGATGATGATGATGATGATAATGATGATGATGATGATGACGACGATGACGATGATGATGATGATGATGGTGATGATGGTGATGATGATGATGAAGATGATGAAGATGATGGTGTGATGATGATGATGATGATGATATGATGATGATGATGATGATGATGATGATGATGATGATGATGATGGTGATGCTGCTGCTGCTGCTGCTGCTGATGATGATGATGATGATGATGATGATGATGATGATGATGATGATGATGATGATGATGATAATGATGACGATGAAGAGGGTAGAAGCAAACATAGGATGAGGGATGGGATGAGCAGGGGAAAAAGGAAGGAGTGACGCGGGGCGCTGTCATCTCGAACCGAGGACCCAACACCACATAATTGTTGTGGGGAAAAACAATATAAGCCAGCGCAGACTCCAGCTAGTTTGGAAGACTGACATTAAGCGGACTGAAGTGGACTGAAGCAGACTGGACGGGTGTAGACTGGAGTGGACTGGGTCAGACTCTACTTCGCTCTACTCTCCTCTTCTCTACTTTACATATTCCAGGAGGCTTACGCCATTCCGCCGACCCCCATAACAGTTAATTCGTCAAGAGTCGTGCCACCGTGCCTGGCCTGCGGGTCAGGAGCCTCGGAGATGCCTATGAGGGTCTCATGGAATGCCTCTCAGGGGCCTCTGGGAGGGCTCTTGGGGGCATCCGATTGACTTTGGGGGGTCTCTCGGGGGCCTGTTTTGGGCATGGTGGGTGTCTCTTGGGCGCCCCTTGGAAGCCTCTTGAAGCGCCTCGGGCGTCACCGGGGGGCTCTTGGGGCCATCGCCGTGGGAAAGACTAGAGATGTCAGTTCGGGCCCTCCTGAGCTTTCTTCGGGCCCCGTGGGGCCTGTCTTGGGGCCCTCTTGGGCCCTCTTGGAGCTCTATTGGGCCTTCTTGGGACCGGGCCTCATGGGCCGTTTTGGGACGATCTTGGGGGCTCCTTGGGCCACTGTGGATGCTGTGAGGACGAAAAAGGCGTGTATGTGTCTAGGTGTGTGTGTGTGTGTGCGTGTGTGTGCGTGTGTGTGTGTGTGTGTGTGTGTGTGTGTGTGTGTGTGTGTGTGTGTGTGTGTGTGTGTGTGTGTGTGGGGGCGTCCTCGCCTCGCCGCAGCCTTCGGGCCCAGGCCCTGCGCTGCGCTCACGGGCCGCCAGGCCTACTGAGCCACGACGGGGGGCTACTGAGCCTCCCCGCCCGCCGTGCCAGGGGACGCGCCCCCCCAGCACCCCGGGGTGGCGGATCCAGGGCCCACAGGGGACCACACCCCACCCCAGGCCCCTAAGCACGGCAGTGCCGAGAGGGGCACAACAATGCGAGGCTGCCCCGCCGAGCCCAGGCCCCGCCAACGGCGAATGCGGGCCCGGGCACCCCAAGGGACGGACCGCCCCTCAGGCCCCTCAGCCACGGCGGCAACCGCGCCAAGGGGGGCAGCAAACCTGCCGCTGGGGGCCCCTCAGAGGCGCACCACGGGCACAAAGGCCTCGCACGCCTCCTGCACCGCCTCATGAGGCCATCCGCGCAGCTGGCACTCTCGCTGCAGAACCCTCCACGGTTCGCTGCAGGGCCCCGGGCCGCTGCTCGAAGAGGCCATCTTGCTGACGAACTGAGCCGCGGCCTGACGACGCTGGTCCACAGTCGCCCTCCGGCGCGCCTTGGCGTCGTCAACGGCGCCCGCCGCTCCGCAGCGCAGCGCCACGGTCAGCTCCTGCGCTCGGAGGGCACGCATCTTGGCCAGCTCATCCATGTGGCTGGCCTGGACCCGCCGCTGGGCCTCGATCGGCTCCTCCATCTGGGCGAGGATCGAGGGGAGGACGAAGTCGTCGTCCGCCGCCTCCTTATTCCCCTGCTGCTGCCGGCGCCGCCTCTGCCGCCGGGTGGAGGGCGGGAGGGGCTGGGTGGCGGGCTCCGCGTCGCCGCCGTCCTGCCCTAGGGGACCGCCGCCGCCGAGGAGGCCGTGGACCTCCTCCTCGTCCACGTCCGTGCTGCTAAGGCGGCCCTGCATTACGGGGTCCTCGTGCACCTTCGCGCTGACCTCGCCGACACTCTGCTTCCACCAGCGAGGACCCGAGGCGAGGTGCGGCGGCACCACGGGCTCGGTGAGCCGCACCGCCTGCGCGAGGTCGAAGCGCCACCCTCGGGAGGGCCGCCACCGCGGGGGCACGAGGTGCCAGTCTGCGCTGCTGGCACGGGCCCCCGTACGAGGCGCAGCTGCGCCCTTGCCACGGGCTGCCACGCACACGCTCGCCATCCTCGGCGGCGCTCCGCGGCGGCCTCGCACGACCTCCGTCTCGGCGGTGGTCTGGCCGCGCACCACGTCCTCGGAGAGGGGGGCTACCTCGACGGGGCCGTCGGTCGCCTGCATCTCTGCGCCGCGTACGTCCAAGCAGCCAACGCGCATTGCCGTTCCCTCCTGCGAGATGACCTGGCTGCCGCCCTCCGTCGCGCCCTCCTTATCGTTCACCTGGCCCTCGGGGGTGCCGACGATCTGGTCGGTGCCCTTGCACTCGTCCACGTCGGGCTCCCCGATGCCCAGGCTGGTGTCGCCCTCCATCTGGACGCCGTCGGCGTGGCCAGCCGCCGCGCTGGGCTGCCGGGAAGGCGGAAACTCGCCCAGCACCGCGTCCTCCTCGAAGGGGCACTGGTGCTCCTCCTTTCCCGCGTCCTCGCGCGCCTCGGGACCGTCCGCAATGTGGTCCAGGGGCGCCGTCTGCTTCTTTCGGGGCCCGCAGCGCCCGCCACGCTGGGCGTGATGCGGCCGCGCCACGGCCTGCCGCAGGGCCTCGACGCCCTTGCCGAGGTCGACGTGCGCCCCGACGTTGCGCCTTGCGCGGGCTCCGCCGCATGGCGGGGCGCCGCGCACCTGCTGGCGCATGGCGGGCTGCATGGCCTGCCAGCGCATCGCAAGCTCGGCGTCCTCCTCGGAGCCGACGCCTGCAAGCAGCGCCCACGCCGTGCGCAGCGCCGCAGCCACGGCGGCCGCGACCGCCTGCCGCTACGTGCCGCCCGCCGCAGCGCCCTGAGCAGCGCCCTGAACGGCCATCGCCATGACCAGTCCCGCGCTCCCGTTCGACCGCAGGTCCATCGCCTCGACGCCCGCCGCCATCGCGGGGGCCGCACCAAGGGGGAAAGAGGCAGCCGCTCTCTCCTACGAAGGGAGAGGCAAGCCGCGCTCCTTGCCCGACCTGGCGCCCCAGGCAGGCTTGAGCCAACCTGGCTACGCGCGTGTGTGTGTGTGTGTGTGTGTGTGTGTGTGTGTGTGTGTGTGTGTGTGTGTGTGTGTGTGTGTGTGTGTGTGTGTGTGTGTGTGTGTGTGTGTGTGTGTGTGTGTGTGTGCGGTGGTGTGCGTGTGGGCGTGTGGGCGTGTGGGCGTGTGGGCGTGTGGGCGTGTGGGCGTGTGTGTGTATGTGTGTGTGTGTGTGCGTGCGTGCGTGCGTGCGTGCGTGCGTGTGTGTGTG